AGGGCCCATCGCTGCCTTTAATACACACTCACTGCAAGTATAAAGAATATTCTACCAGATTGCAGTTGCATTGTATATGCAGTACATAGTTTTTTTTTTCCTAAGTGCCATCATGATGCGGGAATACAGCTAGAGTTTATGAAGAAGAGGATCAAGTGTCTACTTTTCATAAGAACCCTTAAAAACTGATATTTGCAGGAAAATTATATTTTTAAAGGTCACAGATGGGCTGGGTTGTCGACAGCAGAAAATGTTCACACTAGCTGAATTCCAGGCAGAAGACGAAATACATCGATGAAATAGACCTACAGCATGTGTTGTGGTTCGGTAAATTGTGGGTGTTCCATGTTATCACAATGCACGGTAGGGCAGGCAGGCATTACAGTGCCATTCATTTAGAATGGAACCCCAATGCAAACGCAGAACAGATGCTGATGGGCCTGCATTGCAGTGTGTGCTGCACATACAGGGCAAGTTGGCTTTTTCTGCCTTTGCTGTGTTTCCGCAACCTATTCTAAATGAGTGGAATGCACTAAAACAACACCCTAACGTGCAAAATACCGATCGTTATGTGCATTTGGTAACACAGCAGAAAGCCATATTGTGTGAAGGGGTCTTGGGATGCATTCTCACCTCTTCATCTTGACACTAAACTCCGGAATTAAATCATAAAAATACATAAACTATTAACAAAAATGTATCTTATTTGTGTATCACTCGGCTGTAGATCCTCAAATCATCTCTGAATTGGTGCTGGCACTGTCCTTCCTTCTGGAGGGGGGATACTTTTGTTCCCCATGGTCCCTGTATATGTGTTGTAGAGTAGTCACCCCTTCAAGCTCACTCCCGTGATGGACTACAATCTACATTTTTGTTAATAGTTAAAAATACATTGCAAAATACATTCTTATTAGCAGTGCAATTATTGCATTTAAAAAAAAAAAAAGTTCACCAAAGCGTTTTCATGCACTTTCATTGACTCTCTGATGTATTCTTGATGAAACTACCCGAGAGCTTCAGAAAATGAGAGTGTGTATGCCAAATGTATTCATGTATCAGGTGTTCAGTTTGACTTTAATATCAACCATATCAGATTTTAAAGTGTTATGACCTTGATGTGTCCCAATACTCTAAACCCCGGGCTGTTTAAGGCAGTTATTCTTGAGGAGTCATTTTATTTGCCAGTGACCGGTTTTTATTCACTGCATTGATTTGTTCCTCTTTTTTCATATATTTTCCGTTTCGCTTTATAAAACTTATTTTTCATCCTTTCAGTTGCTCTGCATGCTTAGATAAATAACATAGAAGAAAACTTACTACATTTGCTACCAAAGAACTAAAATGCATGTGTTCTTTTAACTTCTCTAACAAGCCCCTAGCATGCTAATGTGCCAGCTTTAGGTTTTATATTGTTTATTTTGTGTTCACATTTGTTGAGTGTATGTGCAGTGGTAATATCAAATGCAGTGATTAAGAAGGTTCTCCTGGAAGCTTTCATACATCTATTCCTGGGGTAGGCAGCCGCGGCACTCTGTGGAACTACAAGTCACATGAGGCATGAGTCCCAGGGGCAGATCCGTGATGGTATTTGTAATTTCAGCACAGCTGGAGTGCCCAAGTTGCTTATTCTACCCATACCCTTACAACCATCGCAAGACTTTTGTCTTGCGATGGTTGTAAGCTAATTAAAAGCTCGTACGATCTGCCAATCTTGGACAGGCAGATCATACAGTGTTCCCTTTGGACAGATTTCACTTTACTTCCTATCCTGGAGACACAGCAGAGGTCTTTCCAAAGTGAGGGAAAATCTTATCTCACAGTTGTCATCAAAACACGTGTATCCATAGGAAGATTTCCCCTCGTGTTCCGGTGAGAACTGTGAAATTCAGAATTTTCCATCTCTGTATGTGGCAATGGTCTCCAGGACAAATAGAGATGGCACATTTTCTCAGCAAGGACACTCCAATACAATCTTGATGGAGGTTCTAACTTTTCCAACTCTCTTCAAAACCTAAAAAAAAGAAATGATGGTGATAGATCCACTTTAACATTACATGCATTGCTGCAGTCCACAAGGCCTGTAACATGCTATACATGAATATGCTTGGAGATCAGGGCCCAGACTGGAGAATGAGAGCCCACACTGGGGAATGAGTGCCCACACTGGGGAATGAGTGCCCACACTGGGAAATAAGGGGCCCACACAGGGGAATGAGGGCCCACACTGGGGAATGAGGCCCACACTGGGGAATGAGGGTCTACACTAAGGAACCAGGGTCTACAGTCGGGAACCTGGGTCCACGCTAAGTGACGAGGGTCTACACTCAGGAACCAGGGTCTACACTCAGGAACCAGGGTCTACACTCAGGAACCAGGGTCCACACTCAGGAACCAGGGTCCACACTCAGGAACCAGGGTCCACACTCAGTTATTACATTATTCTTTACAGACAACACTCAGCACTCCATCCTCTGGATACATTGTTATTCATTACAGACAACACACAGCACTCCATCCAGTGGACACGTTTTTATTACATTGTTATTTAAGAAATAAGAAAGTGTAGAAAGAAACATAAGTCCGGCCTTTAAAAAAAAGTATCTTGAGAACCCGGCTGATGATTAACTAGGTCTTCCGTGATGTCTTAATCTTAATATAATATTGATCTTGTTATTGTCATTCATGTGATGCTCCGCTGACATGTCTACTTCCTGAAATAATCATTTACTTTTCTTTCTTCACATTACAGTGAAAAAGTCATTAGGTCTGCAAGCAGCACTCCTCCCATCACAGACAGTCCAGGTACGGTATAGAATGTGGTGACATAAATTAACCAATTTCTTTGCTTCACACAATTTCTTCCTCTTTAGAATAAACAGAGGGGG